AAAATACGAAAACACAACACTCTTGAATATATAAACCAGGATATAAATATATGTATATTTATATGTGTGTATATATAAACTTGCTTAAAATACATATATACACACATAAATAAAAATATTTATACATAAATCACATAGCAGAATTAATTATTGTTTTATGAGCTTTTCTTGTAATAAAAGCACACATAATAATACCTAAAATATTACTCATAGATAAAGAAATGATATTACTATACTTAAATGTAATAAACCAATAATGATATCGTTTATGTAATGTGGTACCTCAGAAAAAATCTAGATTTATCCAAAATAATTATATTAATAATTAATAAATTATATTAATAAAAAAGTGTATACCTAATAATTGAAGCTAACTCTACCTTGATAGTATCAATTAATTTTACTAATCACATATACGATAATAAATATCCCCAAAAGCTTAATCATGATATTGCTAACCATAAGTTTTGAACTTGTGAAAATAGGTAATTGGGTTCCAATACATTTATTTTCAAAATTATTTATTTATAAATTAAATTAAGATTTATAAAACTTTAAAAGACTTGAAGATGCAAAACGAATCACTAGGGTGGAAAACGAAGCCAATATTAAGTTTAGCTTAGTTTTGTACATACATGTATATATGTACAAAACTAAGCTAAACTTAATATTGGCTTCGTTTTCCACCCAGTCTAGGAGAATATATAATAAATAATAAAAAAAATATTAATATATTAGTATTTGAAATAATTAACTAGCAGCAAGACTTACTTGTCTTGGTACTAGTGTCTTGATAGATTGATTTCAAAATTTATATATATAAAAAAAATCAGATTTGGCAAATTAATCCAAAAACAACAGTTATACACAAAATGTTCAAATAGGCAGTATCTATTATTTATTATCAAGAAATGTGTGATTTTAAAAAATCGCATTGTTTATAATAAAGCTCTGCAAGCTCGTGTGGCCATCTGCCACCTAAAATCGTCAATACACCAGATTAACCAGAATGGAATATATAACTCACCAATAGAAAGTGCTATCATCTGTTTATCAGGATTTGGTTCCAATTTCAAATTATCCACTATCTCACGAATTGGATTGACAGTGTTGGTGGCAAACTTTGACACTTTGACATCCCAGCGTCTTTTTTGAGACGCAAAGGGTGCAATTGGCTTCAAACCGTTTTCTGTGCCCGGGGACATTGACACACAAGATAACTAAATAATAGTCTGATAAGTTCAAAATTCAATTTAAGTGATGTTCACTATGTTTTAGATTTGTTTTTGTACAATAATATCCCAAAAATTTAAGGCACTATAGGATATTATGGTAGATTAAATAATTTTGTTCTACATATGAAAATTAAAAGTTCCAAGCTTATATCAAAATCTGCATTAAAATTCCCTCAATTTCAATTCCTGATCACCACGCTCTTCGCAATGCACTGATACTATTGATTCACAATTCTTAGTTTTTGTATCGGTTTAAGTCTTGGGCTGACCAGAGTCTGGTTTCAGAAATCCAAAACTAGTTTTATTATAGATATTTTATACACAATTCTCGTTTGTGTTAGTAAATGCATAAATTTATATATATACGTAGCACCATAGAACTGCGTATAGGTGAAAGTCCGTTTTGGAACTGACAATATTTAAAATAAAATCTACAAAATATAAAGCAAAATATGAAGCTTCTTGGAAGATATTTTGTTGACTGAATGACGAAGTGTTATCAAGACTATTTTGGCTGTAGTGTTTAATAGCAATCAGCCCTTTTCTATGATATAATCTCCGCTAACGGGAACTTGGCGGCTAAAATTGTTGATAAAGATCTGTGCCATAAACAGTTATGCAATGAAAGAATGTTGGGAATTTCAGTAAAAGCACACAATTTTGTCTTCTAACCGTGATTTATAAAAGATTAAATTAAAATTGTATCAAATTTCCATTGCTTCAGCTATATAAAATATTTATATACGCAAGTAAGAAATCAACAAAAAGTATCAAATATAAAAAAATAGATTTTGTGAGGTGTACCTGTTCATCTAAAAATATTTTTGTTTAAAAAATTAATATTATCCATTAAAATCAACTCAATTTTCTATTATCCAATGCTATGCAATGTCGTAGCAGGTCGTAGCACTTCACGATCCTTATCTGTGCGCCGTGCTACGAACGAGCTACTACGTTTAGAATTATAATATATTATTATATATTATTATATATTTTTTTAAACTGTTGATTATAACTTATAATTTCTTCAAGTATTATACTAATTTGTTCCATAAATATAAAATATAAATATGTACTCTAAACTCATCTAGAACAGCCTGTCTCCATGTTGTATAGTTTTGTTGCAGATGTTCTTCTAACTTGTTTTTTTATTATCCTAGAATAATTTATTTAAATTATTCATATTTAAGTTGAATATTGCAAATTCAGCTAATATATGCACTTTGACGACATGACTTTTGTCGTATGATTTTTAATCATGTAGAACTCTTCTGATACTTGAAATTTTTGTAACAGGTTTATAATTTGCACGCCTTGCTCAGTAATTAAACACATGCTATATATCCATCTACACACACACATATATATATATATACATACGAGGTCTGTTCAAAAAGTACCCGGAATTTTCGTTTTTTCAAAAAAATATTTATTTATTCGTCTACATTAATGTGGTCCCCTTCAAAGTAGTCCCCCCCCAGATATAATACACTTATGCCAGCGTTTTTTCCAATTTTCGAAGCACCCTTGATATTCACTTTTTGATATGTCCTTGAGCACTCTCGGCGATTTTCTTCAATCGAGGAAAACCGCCGTCCTTTCATGGGTCTCTTCAACTTTGGGAATAGGAAAAAGTCACACGGAGCCATATCTGGTGAATTTTTGCACTTTGCAACACTTTATTTCATTTTTTACGCAAAATTTAATACAAATTCTTTGACTTTTCGATTCTTCCATTGTAAAAATCGCCGAGCTCAGAAAAACACGTCGAACCTTAGCGACTACCACAGACAAAGTAAACAGTGAATATAGCTGAAAATTTCATCATACTTTAGGGGCATGTATACCAACACAATAAAAAAAAAATTTTGACAATCAGACACTCCAGACCCGCGAAATTTAATTATTAGTAATTCCGGGTACTTTTTGAACACACCTCGTATATATGAGTGTTTGTGTGTTCGTGTGTATGTGATCCAAATTTTTCATCTATGTTTTCTTGCAAAACTCAATGAAAAATTTGCCAGTGAGTTCGCGGCCTAAAGAAACTCCTTAAAATATTATATGCCATCAAAATGTTTAATTATAAAAAATTATTATAGTTTAGAATTTCAGACCATGTATATTTCATTCTGGTTTTCATACTGATCGCCGTTGACGCCTTAAATGGAATACATTTTAGATTACCAAGTAGAATTAAATGTGTAGAATAAATTAAATTTAATTAATACAATTACAGATATTATAAGTTAGTAAGAAAGATATCAGCTGGTCGCATTGATTAGTTTCTAGGAACAAATTTTATCAATTAAAAACTTGTTTATAAGAGTTGAAGAATCTTCAATTTATTGTACTTTAAAGATTTTATATAATTTGAGGTGGAATACCAATGTGTTACCAAAACCCCTTGAAATCTGAAATATGTGCATCGAATTAAATGTCATTCTAGTTTTTATAAGCGAAACAGGAAAACCGTGATAAACATGGATCCGGTTTTGTTTTGCTTGCGATTGGCTGATGATCTCACACACCTTCTAAATTAAATCAATACAATATATAGATATATTTCAAGATAAACACGTGTCGCAAATTCTGTTTACCAATTATTTGTCCTCCAACCAACCTCATTTTAATTATTTGCAACATCGGATGGCGTAATTTTATTATCATAACAAATTATTTTTTTAATTATTATTATTTTTAATTTCAACGATCAGATTGTAAACGGATAATTCACCAGTTGAAGGGGTAGAACGGACAAATTTGAAATAAAAAAAGCACTTGGGCTATGAACAATCACAAAATTAAGTTTTATCCATAAATATCCAATTTGCTAATTGATAAGCTGCATGTACTTAAATAGTAATCATTTTGTAATAAAACTTGTTAATACTAATAATGTTGCTGAATTAACATTTAATTCAATTTAATCTATAACTTCCCAAAAAATATAGTATATCAAAGTAATGCTTCTCAAAATAGCCAGAGTATCCTATAGGCTCATAAATCGTGTTGGGTATTTTTAATTGATAAATAATAATTTAAAATTAAATGTATATTATAAAATTTTAAATTATTCAGTAGGTACCAGGTGAAGAACTTCATCGATGAGTTTTGTAATCGTAACGACTAATTAATTTTTCTTAATTTTATTACTAAGCAGATTCAAACTAGAATTCGATCTCGTTTGTGCTATTTTACTCAGAAATGTGCTTAAAAAAAGAGAATATTACGAGTTAGAAGACAAATATTTTACGCATAAATTAAAATATTATAGGAAGATAATTAGATTCTCGAAAAATGATATTCAAAAGTATTTCATACAAACTAGAAGCGGACCAAGTGCGTCAAAAGCTGTTGATTATACAAGATCTGCCCCATAACTTAAATTTATTCAACGTATGCAAATAGCATTAATTACGAAATACTGGTTTAGAACCATGAACGATGGATATATCAAACTGTTAAAGTACTAATACTGATAGTGGAAAATTACCAAAGTTACTATCAAAATATTTGAAGTAATTGGTAAACCGAAACTTTGATTCATACCAATAGCAAAGAAGAATTAATTATATAAATATTATTTGTTGATTAATGATATAAAATAATAACATAAAATGTTCTATTTACATATGATTTATTTTTCGTGTTTTGAGAAATTTGAAACAATAATTTTACTAAAACACACATAATAATCGCCAACAATTACATTACAATTCAGCATACGTTATACTGTTGAACCATTTTTGCTTTTTCCTTGACTAGCTTAGTTAAACTAAAAATAATTTAATATTTCCTGCGTAACTTATTCCAATAAATCGCAATTGGTAGCATATGATAACGTTGACGTAATGAATCATCAAAAACTCTAAAATCTGCTCGACGCAATCTTTCCAAATAATTAGCGATCGCCGCGGCTGGTAATAAAACTGGTCTGGCTTCTTTTGGCACCGATTTGGTCAATTCGCGAGCCTAAAATTTATTCAATTTATTTGATAAGATCAAGTTCAAATTACCATTTTAGATGTTGGATAAACCAAATGATGAAAAGCGGTAGTTCAAACGTTAAGGTAGTGCTTTTGAAGAATTGCCAAAAATTGCTACTTCAACATATTAATTAGAATTGTTTCATAAAATTACTTAAAATTTCTTTAAATTTTTATTATTTTATATGTTTACTTTCGTACATCATGGCCTTCTATTTATCTCGGGTTGGCAACCCAGGGGTCATTGAATACCAAAATGGTTGATATTGGTATCAAACAAGGGACTAGTTTGATTGACTAGTTTTGACCACGTCGAGCTCGAATTTTTTAAAATAAAACAAACAATTTCTTACCTTCTCTAAATGATAGTTAGCCTCGCTTGCAATTTCAAAGATAGCGTCCCTAGATCCTTTACTATCTTGCTTACGAATTATTTGCTCTTGTGATAATCCGTGCTTCATGAGTATTTGTTGAGGTAAAAATACTGATCGAGACTCAGTAGTTATAGCAAGAGACCTGTGCGTCAAAAGGACAAAATTTAATCATTGACAGATTATTTGGAAACAAAATATAAAATTTCGACAGGCGATTAGAAGTAAATATTTATTTCATATAAAAGAATAACTCGTTTTCCATTAACCTTAACATATTGGCGATTCCTTGAGCTTTTCCTAGATGTGAAGCAGCATGATCTGCATGAACATTCTTCACTCCACATCCTTCCAAAGCTAAATAGTAAACACAAGATACACTATCTTCGGAATATTTCAAAAGATCTTCGGTGGTCACACAGAAAGATTTCAATAAACGTAGCTCGCGACTTTGTAAAAGTCTTTTTAAAAATGATTTTGTGAGTTTATGGCTTTTCACCGCCTGAAAGAGGTACATTTCTGGAGAATTATAAGAATAGGCAAAGGCTCTAAGCCCCCGAGGCACAGCTAAATATATAGTTGTTTTATTCAATGTGATAATTTTATTAGTGTGGAATAAAGTTTACCTCATTCACTTCAAAGACTATGGGATTATCAGGTATGGGCTCTCCTGATTTATACATATTATCAACTGCCTCTTCCCAAAATTTTATCCGGGCTTGGCCCAATCTGGCGTCTGAAACGTTACTCTGAACGCGTGCAATTTCCGCATTAAATGCTCGAATTGCAAATGCGCAGCGCCGAGCATTATTTGGAAGTAATAGAGTGCACAAGAAGTTCTCATAATCATATTGTCTGTAAACAAAACTTTACTTCATACTTGAATTGTTATTAAAATATACAACTAGTGGGGTGCATGTCATCGTGCCTTAAATATTGGTACGAAACCCAAAAAAAATTACACAAAATGTGTACACATTATTAAAATTTCTATAAAATATCTGATAATTTGATGTACATATATCCAATAAACATGTTCGACCGCCAAATGACATTTTTTAAACTTATTTTTATTGAGAGTACATAACCGCTGGACCTGCATTCCCAAAAACTAAATCAGTTCTTCGTCTTGTCAATACAAGTAAAATGTTTTTTGAATCATTAAAATCGGACGCTCCATTATCTATCTTAAAAATTGAGTCACCGATTTTGGAACTTTTTGCCCCGTATCTTCGGAACGGCTAGACCTGTCTTCACCAAAAACTAATCAGCACGTCTTCTTATCAATACGAATCGAATGTTTTTTTCATTATTCAAACCGGTTGATCGGTGTTTCCGAAATCGTCGACGAAAATTTGTATCCGCACACACACACATACATTCATGTTTTTTAAGGTATGCCAAAATATTCAGAAACCTTTGAAACGTATAGATATATAAAAATTTTCATTTTCGATTGCTATAACTTACCCAACTTTATACTTTTTTATCTATGAACTTACCTACGGGAAGTTAAATATGGCGCGGTTTCTTTTTAAAAAAAATGTTGAAGCGTTTATTCTTAGCAAATAATATATATATATAGGATACAAATAAATCAATCTTAATTTTTAAAATATATAAATAATACAATAAAGATTTCGTTATATTTTTGCCAGTTAGAATCAAGTTAGAAAACTAAAGACAGGAAAATGGAGTCCATTTTGCTGTAATGGAACTTAGCTAAGCTCATGCTAAACTTATTTTATGGTTGGTACCATTGATAACACTAGCTGTCAAAATTTAACATTTGTAACAGCAACAAATACATTTCGTATCAGAATCCAATAAGCATTTAATATATTAGTTTCCATCTTACTTTAGTTTGTAATTTATTACAATATGGTAAAATTTAATTTAGAGGTTAAAGCATCCTTAGAAAATGTAGAAAAGCTTTCAAGTGGACAGGACCACACCTGGTTTTTGAAAATAAAATGTACTAGTTGTGGGGAAACATCTGACAAATGGCATGATTTATGCCTTTCAGAAACAACTTCCCATGCCCACGAGAAATCAGAAATGAATTTCCATATGAAATGTAAATTGTGCAGCAGGGAGAACTGGATGAACATTATACCTGATAGTTTTAAAGATTATACGAACTCTGACTCAGAGAAGTATAAGCAAATTGTTACATTTGATTGCCGAGGATTAGAGCCTGTAGATTTTAGTCCTCGGGATGGCTGGTCAGTCTCAATTGAAGAAGGAGGGACATTTGACAATGTAGACCTTACTGATAAAGAATGGAATGATTACGATGAGAAGATTGGTCAACCAGTTGGAATATATGAATTTGAATCGAGAATAGTTAAGACAAAATGAAGATTTAACACTAAATTTGCTATAAAGTTAATTCTGAAGCAACAATGCTTTTTGCATAAATGGATGCATGATTGTATGATTATATTTGCCAAATACTATTTATGTTACATTCAATATGAAGTTATTGAATAAATATAGTTATATTTTCGAGTTATTTTGAAAATGTGTTTCTATTGCCTGTATATATATATATATATATATATATATATATATATAACGTATAAAGCTTTGTTATAGTTTAAATATCTTTTCAAGTCGATATAAATTGTTATTATTATTGTTAACTTTACCTTACGCATTGCATACAATATTTAGCTGGTGAATTTTGCAAATTGGCTGCATTGCTTTTCTGACGTTTTAAGGTTAGGATCAGACGTTTATTATTATTTATCACAGATTTATGAAACATTTCACGATTTTAAAAAGAGTTTAAAAAATGTCTCGTAGTTCTTTTGAAGCTAATTGATTTAAATAACTGAATTAAAAAAAATAAATTTCAATCGTTACTACAAATTGCACATTCTAGTTATGCGACTCACTTCACATCAATTCATGAGATATTCGCTGATTATAACATTATTCACAAAAATAAGTGTCTCGTCGTCTTAAGGATCATTTGGACTTCTTAATTAATTTCCAAATAATGGCTGATGCAACCGAAGGAAACACTGAAAAACTATCTAAAAAGTAAGCCCATATATCAAAATTATAAAACTATTTCTAGTACACAGCAGTTCAGATGCCGGTGTATTAATTAACAAAACTTGTAGGTTATAAAAGGCATATTCACGTGGCCACATATGTTTTCCATAATATATCATTTATATTTTGATTTGGAAAATAATGTTTATTATATCTAGAACTGTACGACCATATATACAAAATGTTATGATTCAGAATTTCGTTGTTAAACGGAATTTATCACAATGCAGTAGTTTGTATTCTAAAAGGTCTGTATGTCATTTTTATAACAAAATGGTACAGCCATGGTTAACAAGATATATGTATATCTTTCATTGTAACAAAACCATTCTCCAATCATTATTTTTAAGTGTAATAAGAGTGATAGAGACAAGTTATTATAGATACAATTTTTTATGATGTATTGTGATTCAGAAATCTAAATATAAACATTTCTGGGGATTCCACAGTGAGCTCAAACGGAGGTTGAAAGCAGAGCAAAAGGCAAAAGAGAAAGCTGAAAAGGCAGCAGCTGTACCAGAAAAGCCTTTAAAAGAAGCCAAAAAGGAAGTTACAAAAGTTGATGAAGAAATTAGCCCAAATGAATATTTTAAACTCCGAACTGCTGCAGTAACTGCATTAAAAAATTCAAATGATCCTGATCAGCATCCTTATCCTCATAAATTTCATGTTAGCATTGGTTTGACTGAGTTTATAGAGAAATACAAGGATCTTCAGGTATAAAGTTGTGATGAAATTAATATTTTTTATTTAATTAAATGTCTAATTAAATTTTTGTCAATTAATTGTATAAAATTCAATAGTTAATATTTGCACATGAATTCTTATTTTATTCTAATATTCTGCATGAATCTCTCTTACTTGAAATGTTTTAATTTGAGAAAAATATTATCATAATTTTATAGGATGCGCAAATATTGGAAGATGTTACTTTGTCAGTTGCCGGAAGAGTGCACGCCATCAGAGAGTCTGGAGCTAAACTTGTATTTTATGATTTGAGGGGAGAAGGTGTCAAAATTCAAGTTATGGCAAATGCAAAATTATATAGTTCTGAGGAAAAATTCACAGAAGACACATCGAAAATCCGTCGTGGTGATATTATTGGTTGCATTGGACATCCTGGGAAAACTAAGAAAGGAGAACTGTCTGTAATGCCAACAAATGTAAAACTCCTTGCCCCATGTCTACACATGCTTCCTCATTTACATTTTGGATTGAAAGATAAAGAAACACGATTTAGACAACGGTATTTAGATCTTATATTGAATGATAAAGTACGCCAAACGTTCCATGTGCGTGCTAAAATCATTGCATATGTTAGACAATTCTTAGACAGTTTAGGCTTTTTGGAAATTGAAACTCCTATGATGAACATGATTGCTGGTGGAGCTACTGCCAAACCATTTGTCACCCATCACAATGACTTAAATATGGATTTATTTATGCGCATTGCGCCTGAGTTATATCACAAAATGTTGGTTGTTGGTGGTTTGGATAGAGTTTATGAAATTGGTAGACAATTTAGAAATGAGGGTATTGATATGACTCACAATCCAGAATTTACAACCTGTGAATTCTATATGGCCTATGCGGATTATCATGATGTGATGGATATGACTGAAAAACTAGTTTCTGGCATGGTGAAGAAAATTCATGGCACTTATAAAATTCAGTATCATCCTGATGGGCCAGATGGTGAGAGTGTAGAAATTGATTTCACACCTCCTTTCAAACGAATTTCTATGATTCCTGCCTTGGAAGAAGAGTTGAAAGTTAAATTTCCAGCATCAAACACATTGAATACTCCCGAAACAAATAAATTTTTAAGTGATCTGTGCATTAAACATGAGGTAGAATGCCCTGCACCAAGAACCACTGCTAGACTCTTAGATAAATTAGTAGGAGAATTTTTGGAAGAAAAGTGTATAAACCCATCATTCATTTGCGACCACCCTCAAATTATGAGTCCTTTGGCTAAATACCACAGAAATGATGTAGGACTCACAGAACGTTTTGAATTGTTTGTGATGAAAAAAGAGATTTGTAATGCTTATACTGAATTGAATGATCCAATGGTTCAAAGAGAGCGTTTTGAACAGCAAGCAAGTGACAAGGTATGATCTTTGTAATATCAATTAATATAATGGAAATATATTAATATTGCCAATTTTGTTTGTTAGGCTGCTGGTGATGATGAAGCACAACTTGTTGATGAAAACTTCTGCACTGCATTAGAATATGGTTTACCACCTACTGGAGGCTGGGGTATGGGAATTGATCGGTTAACAATGTTTTTGACTGATTCCAATAACATAAAGGTATGAAAACTCAAGAATTACAATATAAATATATTTACAAAAGCTTCATTTAGCTATTTAATTATTCATATAATAATTTAATTCTTACAGGAAAGTTTTTTATTTTCCCTGCATGAAACCTGATGATCCAAATAAGAACAAAGAAGTTTCTGAAGAAGCTGAGCATATTGAGAAATAACATACACCAAATAATTGACTTTGTTCAAATATTTATTATGATTGTGAACTATTTATTAAAAACATGTTTTTTTGCTTGTGTACAGTTTGTTTACAGTAACAAATTGCTTCAACCTATATATAAGGTTTTATAAAATTGAACACATATGCAGTCATATTAGTACTCCTTTTGTTGATAGATGAATAGTATTTGAAGTCACATTATGCAGTTTCAGGATTGTTATTCACTAGTTTTGAAGCAGAATCACAGGGTCGCTTGAGTAGAATTATAATGTTCTCCAAGTTCTAGTATATAGCGGTGATATGGTTAAAATAAGTGGTTCTGTATTAAATTCTTCTCCTTGAATTGTTGGAGGACCATCGGCTTGTAGGATTTCAATAGAAGTTTTAAAATGTTTGAAAGTGCTTTTAAGTTCAATTTGACCACCCCAAGTATTGAGTATTTTCAATTTTTGAACAATAATCTTCGAACTCTGTTCATGAGAGATTCACCTTCTGCATTAGTCATAAATGGCAAAATTCAGTCATGTTACTTCTTATATAATCACTGGGTAAGTTTCGTAACTCGCTTGTAGAAATGGGTTGCTTATTATGGAGTTTCAATGATGCTCTACAGCTTTATATAAACAATCACATCAGAAGGCACCTCATAAATGCTTAAATTTCGAGATTTTTAATATTGATTTTAGAGCTTCGAGTGTTTTATGTCTAGCACCATGCTTGTTTAACTCTTCTTGGTCTTCATTTCTTTGCAGGCGTTCCTTCTCACCAAAGATTTTTTATCTCGACGCCCTTCTGGCTCTTGATATTTTCTGATTTGAACTTGGGTCTGAGGCATATCGCACCTCATTTTCTGAAGGGCTAGCTTTCTCGTCACAAAAAAAATCACTAAATTGTTCTTCTAAATTTAGCAATTTCAAGTAGAATATCTTTTTTATTTTTTTTTATTATTTTTTGCCTTGTTTTTTCAAGGATGTTATGTCGGCGCTTGATATTCTTTTTGGTTTTAAATTTATTTACAGAAATATTTTCTTCAATATTTGTGCCATTATGTTATTATTGTAGTTTATATTGAATAAAAAAAGAAAATGTATGTAAATGAAAAGAATAAGGATATCCAAGTAAATTAATTTAAACAAATACAATGTAAATGGGAAAAACTTTTATTTTATATATTATGTTAACTAACCTACGATTTTGACGTTTGAAGGTTTGAAACCAAGGAAGGTTTTCACTGTTTAATTTGGTTACACATGTTGCTAACTTTAATTGCTTCGATGTCAAAAATGTTTCGCTGAATTAACATGTGCGTTAATTAAGGACTTTTTAATTAAATCTTTGATTGGATTCTGTTTAATTTGTACATCAACTCGTTTAATTAATTTAGTAGATAATAACTGATATAGGAAATTCATCGCGAAATGTTCATAAAAAGTAAAAAGTTGGGTGTGTTGTGAAGGTGCCTAGGTAAACTTTGAATAGTTTGATAAGTATCTTTTCAGGGTCTCCATTTTGAATCAATTTTATAAATAAAACAATTCATTCACAGCGCCAATGTATCCTTTAATTATATACATGCAATTATCAATAGTATAATTTAATATGTGTGCTTTTGTTATTAATCATTTACAGCGCCAATGTATCTTTAATTATATACATGCAATTATCAATAGTATAATTTATATGTGCTTTTGTAGGTTACTACTTAGGTACTTTCACCACATATCTGTTTTATCGAATTCTAAATTCACGAAAGTCTCTAATATAAGTTTTGTGTCGTGTATTGTGTAAAGATTTTACTCGGACAATTGGCAACAGGTCAATAGACTTGTAAAAGACTAAAGTTATGTAGTGGTTCTAAAGTAGTAATTTGTGTCGAGTACTTGAGATTTCTGGAAGAT